GGAGGCGGACGAGAAGCCATTGCAGATCCAAAATGACTACCTCTTCCAACTGGGATTTGGGGAGTTGTGGAGGGTGCAGGAGGAAGGCATGGACTCGGAGATTGGCTGCCTCATCCGCTTCTATGCAGGTAAGGGAATCACCTGTATTTTGACGTGCGGGCTGTAAACACTTCCAGATCCCGAGGAGTTGAGTGCCAACCAGGAGTAAACGCGGGTCCTCGGCAGTCTTTGTTGCTTCTTTACAGCTTTCACGGACCATCTGTGTAGTAGTACATCGAGCAGTTTTAATACCCGAGACTTGCCGTCAGTCTTGAGTGCTCAGAGGTTGGGAAGCGATGTGGAAAAGGTGGCACAGCCACCAGGAAGTACAGGTGGCAGGTACTTCTGAGAACGGCGATAGGACTTCATGTTAACAGGGAGGGCACTTCCTTCAGGCCTCCCCTCCTGGGCACGTTGGGTTGGAGGCGGTTTGGGATTGCAGGTAAACGGTCTCGTGCACACAATACTGACGGGGGGGGGGGGGGGGGGGGGGACATGAGCAACAGAAATGCTCTAGGTCACTCTTTGTGCAGTTGTCCCCGTTTGCCATTCTCGCATGACTCCCAGGAGCTCCTTTCTCGTCATCCGGTTCAGCTGTCATGCTGTCATGCATATTTGCCCACTTAGTCCTCGCTGGCAGATAGGACCCCTGTTCGTGAGACTTTTTCCCCAGAGCTTTTTTTTGCTTTATTTCGGTTTCACCTGCAAGTTTGATTCTCCCATCAAAAGTGATGTGTCATTTCTTTTTCTCATTTCTGACTTATAGCCTTTCTAGCTAGATCTGACCATGACTGTGTGACTGGCCGCAGGGATCACAATAATATTTGAAGTGGTTACCATATCTTGAGATGTGATCTAAAATCTTCCTCATTCATTCTTTTTCTTTCCTTTTTTTTTTTTCAGTTCCAGCTTAAAACTTTTTTACTTTTCTCTTTTTTTTTTTTTCCAGCTTTTGGAGATACGACTGACATGTTAGATCTAATTCTTACTAGGGGTGACTAATGTTTCTCTTTTGATTAAAGACTTGGCAGATACCAAATTAGGGAGCTATACATCCTGGGTGTTATATTTGAGGTTTATATTTGTTTGCATCTTTGCATGTTTCCTTTCCTTTCCTTTCCAATTATGTTCTTAGTGATGAGAAATTTTATTTAAAATAAAGTTAGCATAATAAAATTGGAAGACTTAACTCTTCCCCAGCTTTACAATTCTATTGTATAGGTGCTGGTGGAAAAGTAATCCTATTTGTAGCTTGATTAATCTGTTGCCATTCTTTCTAATTTAATGTTTTTTTGGTCCAACTGGTGTCTTAGTGGCAGTTGAGTCAATGAATAAATCTTTACTCCCACACTGAAATATGCAAGACCAGGAGCATTCCGGGTGAGGTGTCTTTTTAAGTTTCACTGAAGTTTGAATATAACTCAAGTGGATTTCTGATGGATTTTTATCTTCTAAAGAAAACCATATCATGATATTATAGCATTTGTGGCATCTGAAGATAACATCTCAACTGAAAGACATGGCTTTAAAAGTTTATGGCCTAGAAAATCAGTGATTTTTTTTTTTTTTAATGTAGGAACAGCAAGTGCATCCTTATCTCCTGGAGCTCATGTGTTTTGTAAAATACTCTTATTTTACAAAAGCATTAAATGGTAATCACACTTGGAATGAGAATACTAACATGAGAATGATAAATGCCCTTATCACCAAACCAATTACGTGGAATGAAATACTTAGAGAGGAAGGGATATGTAGAATAAACAGTATTGAACATTTTATACATAAAAAGCTCTGCGTCTCTTGTCCTTGTGTTGATCATGATAAATGTCTATGGGAAAGGTTTTGGGTGTCCTAGTCATGAAATTTAAAATCTTTGATTCCCTTAATTACCTCTTCAAGTGTGTCTAAAATATTCTAAGTGACTGATATACAGTGGTTTTTGTTTTTTTTAAGCTTATCTAAAAGTGACACATTTTCTTTCTGGTTAAGTCAAATTTCTGGTGTGGGCATTTTGATCTTTTTTGTTTATGAAAAGCAGCAGTTGTTTCTTAACTTGCTTCATTTCTGTGTGCACAACATAAATACATACATATTTCTGTGTATGTGCTTGTCAAAATGGCTAATAAAATGGGGGCGTCACACGCGGTATCCAACCTGTCCTTGAATATGAAGCCAGTGTACAGGTGTCCCAGAAGCAAGATGCTTGTTATAGAGGTGTCTGGTTGTTTGTTTTTTACACAGAGTTGAGCCTATTTTGAATCCAAGGTAATACATAAAATGTCTCTGTTGATATGCATTTGCCACAGAACTAAATTGCGCTGATGGTACTTGAACTTTTGCAAGGAAGCTTAGTTATTGATGAACAAAAGGGCCTTGTAATAAGGTGGTCTTACTTATTATGGGAACACCGTCAGGACTTCACAGGCAAATGAGGGTTTGTGCCTCGCTGGAGGAGATTCCTAGAAATTACCCTGGCAGTCGAATGAATGTAGTAGGACACCCAACAAGAACGTGTTACATTTTGGTAGTATTTCTTATTCTTAGGAAAAAGAGAATTAAAGTTTATTTTAGATAAAGGTGTCGCATGCCACATTTGTTTTTATAATTCTAGGTATGACTTTTAAATTTCTTGCTGTGTGTCTTTTTGTTTAGGTGTGTAGTTGGAGTTAAGGATAGATTAGGAAGTTGCCTTTGAAGCATTTTGAATACTTTCCTGTATTTAAATTGAACTCATTATCTGCTTTCTAGTTATCTAGTTAGCTACTTTTTTTTTTTGAGAAGTTCTTGTTCAACCGAGAACTTTCATTCTTTTGAAGGTCACCTTTCAATGGGATTTTGGTATTTATAACTTGACTCAAGTTATTCTTAAAAGTCTTTGAAAGGCATTCGCAGTTGCTTTGAATATTTAATACTTATTTGGGTAAAGTAAAATGGAAGTCTTTAATGAGGTATAAGGTGTTGGACGAAAGGTGCTATCTAATTACAGAGTTGTTAATGAAAACTTAGTTTGAAAATTGTATCTTTCAAGCATTCTTTAAGCTGCTGATTTAAAATATGACAAAATTTAAGTGGCTGTATATGAAGTTACTGGTCTTAAGTATTTTAAGTATGTTAACATTTAATTTCCTCTTAAAGTTAACTATCTTAAATTTTCCTTGGAAGACAGTAATTTTAGGTTAAAAAGTTTAAAAATTTATGTGGCTTGACGTAAGTTATGGACTTCAAAACATCAATGAGCTTTGTGTTTTGGACTCCCCAGGGAGTCTGAGTGATTGGCCAAGGGCAGTGTTAAACTATATATATTTTTGACTCTGTTCTGCCACCTTTTAGATTTAGTGGTTTAGCTATTTCAGTTCCAATTGTAATAGTGGGAAAGGGTGTTGGCAGAATGGAGAGCACACCCACTGTGCCTAGTGAAATCTTGGACAAGATGTTTTTATGGGACTTTTGGGATTGCTCAGGAGAACAATCTCCTAACCCCTCATATTTCTTCTCTTTTTCTCTTTTGGGAATGATCAAACCTTACATGGTTTCCTGCATGGAAACTGAGACGGGGTGGTTCAGCATTAAGCTGTAATATTGACCAGCAGGCTCTTATTACTATAATTACAGCAGTATTGAGTAACGTGCTATGAACATGTGACACCAATGTGTGCTTGAACAGTCCTTTCAATTTTAAGAACAAAGGGTTTAACTTTAATTTTGTTGTTTTAGATTTACATTTTATATTTGTTGTTTTTGGTATAAACTGCATGCTATCTTTTCCTTCGTACCTGTGGTTTGAGAACATCTATTAATATGTTGGGTTTTGTCATCTTCACAAATTTTAAAGGGCTTTCACATAAATTATCTTATTTGTCCTTTCAAAAACATTATTAGGGAGGAGTCGATGTCAGTCCTCTTTTCAGAGAGAGAAACGTGCACAGAGAGGTTTGCCTCTTGCTTGTGGTTTTTCAGTCCTTGGCAGAGCTGAGTATATAGAGAGCTGGGCTATTCTGTTTTGCAATTCATATCACTTTCCATGAATCGATGCTGAATTTCATTTACACTTGAATTTTTCAGTTGGTTAGAAGCATGCAGAAAATATGCTATTTTTGTTGGTAATGAGGTGATATTATCCTCTAGTCCAAAGTGGTATTCCTTATGAAATATTGATGGTCTTATTTTTTTATCATGCTGCCTTTGAACACCCAGAGTACCAAGACTGGCAAATTAATACGCAATACAGAAAGAGTACTATACTAAAGTGTTGTCAGTATTCTGGTTGCAAACAATGATACTTGCATTTAAGTTGCTAGGAAATGAAGTTTACTTAATGACTTTATTTTTTTTTTTATCTGACCATGCCTTATTTGTTAAACAGTAAATCTTCATTGGGTCTAGAAAATTAATACTTCATCTGAAAAGTGGATAACTTTTCAGGGTGGAGGTGTGACAATTCAGTTCCTTTAAAACATAGCCTTACTTGTAAAGTATTGAAAATATACATCATAAAAGGTTTGCTTAAGTCTTTTTAGAATAGAATTACTGGTACTTTAGTGATAGTGCTTTTCTGGTGTTACTATGCTATTGTTATGATTATTTTTATCATTCATACATTATACAGAGCTAGAGAGTAAGCTCTTCTCCCTGAATTTCATTGTTGCTTCTGAAACTTCTAAAATGTGTGTCTTTTGTGCTGGGTGAAATAATGCAGGGAGAGGAGATGTGTGTAAGTTAGTTTGTAAGGTTTCCGGGTTAAAAGTTGTATCTTTTTGTTGCTATAAGATTGTTAAATCAACCACCTTAAATGATTGGTTACCTCAAGGTCATTATTTTTTAAAGTGTAAAGTGTTTTGGTTTCTTGCTCTTTTTTTTTTTTTTTTTTTTTTTTTTTTTTTTTTTTAAGAGTCCTGCATTTGATTTATTGGTAACATAACAGTCATTGACATTCTTTATGATCCAAGCCTGGTGTAATACTTGGCATTTTAGTTTAAACATTTGTTGAATTGAATTTGTGGAATTTTGTTAAGCAGCTGGTGGTGCATGCCCTGATTCTTCAGCCTTCCATCCTGTTTGGGTCCCCAGGGATGCGTTAAACACACATACA